CTCATATGTATATACGTATGTACATAAATCTATATACACACATATATATACATATATATATATACATATATATATGTGTATATGTGTATATATATACACATATATATATATACACATTTATGTATGTACATATAGATATACATATATGTATATACACATATATATATAGCTATCTATCTATCTATACATACATACATACATACATACATATATATGTATGTATACATTCATACATACATACATATATATATATATGTATATGTGGTCCAGTGCGGTTGGCCATCGAGCATTGTGTCCGATGATCCGATGACTTCGATGGAGGCCATTTCCCCTCGCAGGAGCCCAGCCAATAAACACTCATCGTTGATCGTTGTGGTTTCCATTCTGGCATATTACTTCAGCTTGTCGCAAGCAGATTGCCGGCCACTTCATTCAACAGACTCTTTGTAACTGTGGTGCTGTGGGCGCAAGTTCATGTGGAAGCAAATGTTGCAGTGCCATCTTTAGGATTCGGGCGTCGCTTCATCGTCCGTTTCTGCTTTTACATGAAAGACTCCAATGGCAAACGGCGGGTCGGATTCGGGACACCGGACGTAGAAGAGGATCTACAAGACCTGCCCGAAAAAACATCAGCAGGTACGTCGTTTTTGCCGTGTTCGCGGTCCTCAACGTCGTCACAGGCGCCTGCATTTTGGTGTGTGCTGATTAGCTTGGCCCGTCTTGATGGCTAGTTCTCGAATTCTCGAATTCTGCTAGCAGCACAATTAAGGCCGCATGGTTTTAGCATACCCAACTGTGGAAAAGTTTTCGAGAACGGCCTATGTGAAGCTAGGGTCCAGAGAGCGGCGAGGCTCGGGAAATTCCGAGAATTCCAGATTTTTTCTGTTTTTTTCCGGGGGGGGGGGGGGGGTCTGCATGTTCGTCACCGTAAACCCCAAACCCCCCAACCCCTAAACCCTCAACCCTAAACCCTGGTCAACTTCAACTTCTGGATGGTCACTACAGATCAGCTTTGCTAGCCGGTCTTTTGGCTCATGTGCCCTGTGCTCCCTGCCTGCAGCGAGGGGTGCCCTGTGTGCCCTGTGCGTTAGGGAGGGCGGCCGACAGACACCTGCGTTGGTTGGTAGAAGCTCGCCTCCGTGTGCACGAGGCGTGTTCTGCAATCAAGCGATCGAGAGCGCGCGGGCGGACAAGGACCAGCTGTCCGACCCACACTGAGTGCAGAACTGCGCTGGGGACCTTAGCTCGTGAAGGGTTTATCCGTTTGCGTGTTAGGGTTGGGCTTAGGCACAAATTAGACGGTTATCGTCCAGATGTTTCAATAACGTCACCCGAAAGATGACACAGCGCAGGACATTGCGATCATGAAGCAGATGCGCCACGGCAGCAATCATGGCCTGTGTGCATGGCCAGTATTCGAAATTCGAAGCCATGGTGCCTAAGTGTTCTTCGGTTCAGACTCGGAGTCGTTCTGAATCCGAAGCCGGGATGCTGCCACGAAAAGGGCTCTATCTACGCTTGGCGGCCACCGGCTAGTAGTCCTGGCTGGCTTTTCTGAGCCATCGTGGTACGAAGGGTTGTTCAGAAACTTTGTAAGAAGTTGGTACATGTTACCATGTGCTGCTGTTCAGCCACAGATGAAGCTCATGACGACGCTTTCTAGCCTCGGTAGTCCTCAGGACATGAGGTAGCCTAAGGTCTGGACCGAAGTGTCGCTCGCGTCCGTCAGTGCTAACAGTCTGCGAGCACATTCGATTCGAGCGTCGGGTGTTCGACCTCATTGTATATCCAAGGCATAAGCATGAGCAACAAGTGCAGTTGCTGCGAGAGCACCTCGGTTTGCAGAAGATGCCTTACATTGAGGGTGAAAGTTGGTCTCTTTCCTCTTGTGCTGTCATTGATGATGATGATGATGATGATGATGATGATGGTGGTGGTGGTGGTGGTTGTAGTGGTGGTAGTGTTGCTTGTTCAAGGCACGGTAGTCAGCAGTTTAGCCACCCTACATCAAAACCTTAGACCGAAAACCGCAGATGCCCCAACCTTCATTGATGAGAAGATTTTCAATATCAAAGTAAGTTGCAGTTTTCTGAATGTATACATATGTAATCATTGTATTTTCACAATATGTTAAGTGACACGTTTAATGTATATATCATAGAGTCTTCGGGGCCAGCAGCAAGCTTTAAGAGGACTCCGACGGAGGCAGCGGTCGATAGCGGTCGCACATTCTCAGGATCTTCAGTGAGATCGACCAGGACGAGTCCAACCTCATAAGTATCAAAGAGCTCAAGGCACATTTTGATGAGCGTGGTTTTGGGAGTTGCCATGCTGACTGCATGTGCACTGTGATATGGGTGGACGGTCATCCATAGTATCAACAGAGGTGCACGCAGGTTCCAGCTTCGGTGTGTCAATCGGCCCATGAAGTACTCACTTCACATTCAAGTCCAAGCTTCGTGGAGCTACGCTGAAGCTGGCACTCAACCACGGAAGAATCAGAGTGAAGCCTGAGCCGAAGTACCAACACGTCACACAGGGCGCATGTGCGATGCGTATGCTGTACACTGATGCCTGCCGCCCCCGCCCAGAACGCGATGGAGGGCAAGAAGATGGCGAGCTTCATGTACCTTATTGTGCGCTTGGTAATTGGTAAGTTCAGATGTTGGGCAGAACGTGTAGAGATTTGTGAGCTTGGACGGGGCGAAGAGGCCAAGTGGACCTCTGATCGCCCCCCCCCCCCCCCCCCCCCCCCCCCCCCCCCCCCCCCCCCCACCCCCCACAACCACGACCCCAGACCTGCTTCCATCTAGCACCAAAGCCCCGGAAGATCCCTGAGGCGTTCAATCTCCATTACCTTCCTGCACCTTTTTCACTTTCTAAAGAATGTCCATCCCCATCTTGGGTTATCTGTTTCCTTAACTTAAGGGGTCGAAGTATCACAGGGTGAGAAGGGAACATCATGTGGAGAGCAGGCCGTAGCTCTAAGTGCAGAGCGTAAAGAGCTTGAGGGCTTACAAACACATTCACCCCAGACACCGAGTCCGAAATCCATCAACTCAGGGGTAGCCTGAAGCCACACTCAGCAAAGGGTTTCAGGGTCGGCAGGTAAGTTTAGGGTATAGGGCTTACTTTGGGGTGTAGGGCCTGGGAGTTTCGGTTTCTGATTTGGGGCCTTAGGATCTGGGATTTGGGTCTAGCCATGAGCCTAGGCATTCCATGGACATCTCCACGCAAGACATTTGGACTCTCTTCATGTGCCTTGGGCGCGTTACCCAGCAAGACCTGGCCTCCATTTCATATCTTAAACCCTTAAACCCCAGAACCTCACCCCTCTCCACCGAAGCCCCGCAGTCCACATCCATATTCCAAGAAGGGCGTCTATGTACACACTTCTATACAGATGTACGCACATACATACAGATAATATATATATATATATATACATATATATATGTATACATATAGATATATACATATACACGAGAGAGAGATTGAGGGACGGAGATAAGAGAGAAATAAAGACATGCAGAAATATGGAAACATAGAAATCTAGAAACATAGAAATCTAGAAAGATAGAAATATAGAAATATAGGAATCTAGAAATACAGAAAGAACGACATGAACAATAGCGACAGAAGAAAAGGAGAACGAAAGACGTAGCGAAATAGAAGAACATAAGTCGAAACAACGATAGAAGGACTTTTGGAAGGCAACGAAATCAAGAAAGAACTAGCTCCAGATAGACAGCTGGGGGTCTTTTGCTAGGGGTTCAGCTTTCCAGGGACTGGGCTCCATGGCCTAAGAGGAACCCAAGCTCCCACCCTCAACCCACTGTACCGATACACCTCGCCGGGCTTCTTCGGGACATGTAGACCTCAACTCAAACCCATTGAGACGCGTAAAGGGCCCCGGACACCCCAAAGCACCTGCGCAGTGACCATGCCCCTAGAGGATCCCCACATATGAGATTTCGGGTTAGGTTGCCTGGACAAAAAACTGAACTTTCGACTGTGTTGCCCTCTTCTGTGTTCCCGACATTGGAGAAGTGAAGGGGCTTTTGCTCATAGGGCAGCACGTGCAGGGTCATTGATGCCGACGGAAGTGGAGAGATCTCACTGGAGGACACTTGGCATGCAACCAATCCCTTGAATCCTGAACCCTACTAGAGTCTAAACCCCAATGCCATCGGAAGAATTCAATGAGCAGCTTTAAGAACGGGGCAACTCGCAGCCTTGCGTCAGATTTGTATACGCCTCCACCTCCAAGACCCTAAATCCCTCAACCCCAGAACCCAAAACCCCAAACCCCGAACCTAAACCCCCGAACCCCTTAACCCCCCCCCCCAGCCTTACACCCAAAACCTGCGCACCTGCGCCCCAAACCCCCCCCCCCCCCCCGGCACCCTTCAAATTGTAAGCCTCACGTTTCAGGAGTTTCACAGGGCTTGGCTTCCGAAAACCCTATATCGGACAATCGGTTAAGGGTGTAGAGTTATTAGGTTTAGGTTTAGGGTTCAGGGTTGAGTGTTGAGGGTTTAGAGTTATCAGGTTTAGGGTTTAGGGTTTAGGGCCCTTTTGGCTTGTTGGACTTCCGGGTTGATTGAAGGTCTCTGCACATTGGGAGCTCCTCCCAATGGGACAACTATGGGCCCGCTTTTGGCATCGAGAGTTACAAGGAATGTGCTGTAGCCGAGGCCCAAAAAGGGCTTAGGGTTTAGGGTTTAGGGTTAGGGTTGGAATGGACGCCCCCCCCCCGAAGGGATGGCGAACATGATGTTGCTAGAATAGCGGACAAAGCAAGAGACTTCAAGCCCCCGAAGCGGAGCATGTTTTTCGGCAATTTACTGGCATGGCAACTCAGAGACTCTCAAAAACACCAAACCCTGAACCATCCTAAACCCGACACCCCCACGCCCACCCACCCCGCAAAACAAACAAACAGCAACATAATTCAAGTGTAGGTCAGTAGTATATGTATATATATATATATGCATACATATGTATCTTGTCTTGTTTTTGTTGATTTTGATTTTTTTGTTATTAGTATCAAAAACATGATTATTATACCAAGTCTGAAGTGCAGCCAGCTGAGGAGTTCGTCTTCGGCTGCATGCAACTGCAGGGTCCGGCAAAAGGACCCGAGGGCTTCGGTCCGTGTGTTTGCTTCACGTGACTTTCTTGAGGGCGGGGGAGGGGGGGGCGGGGAGGAGGCAAGTTGAGGGTGGAGGGCTTTTAGGCTGAGATCAACAAGGGTCAGGAGTCGGGGTTTAGGTTTTCGGATTTGGGATTCTTGGTGTGCTCAAGGGGATGTTCCGGGGTCTGTTTCGTTGAAGATTTAGGGTTTCTTTAGGGTTCAGAAGCGACCCTACACCCTGAAGCCCTAAACCCGTGGCAAGGACACAGGCCGAAGCCCAGTTTCGACAGTACTTTCAGCCCAAGGCCTCGATATCCCAAACCCGAAGCCCCGACCCTTGTACCTATATCCCCCTCGGGAATCATTTTGTATTCTTGTTTATATAAAACCCAACCAGGATATTAAGAAATATTATGTTGATTAAGGTTCTAAGGGGGGAGTATAGGACCCTTGTACAGCATGTCCCTTCTGCAGCCCTGGACATGACGTGCAAGTCTTACTGCCAGAATTCTTGGAACCAAGGACTCCTAAGCTGGCACGTGGACCGGTCAGGGCTATCTGCCCGGTCGTAGGGCACAGTAGAACCCTAAACCCTACACCCTAAACCCTAAACCCTGAACCCTGAACCCCAAACCCCAAGCCTTAAACCGTCCTTGAGGACTCCAGATCGCACGCATGAGCTACGAAAACACGATCATGCGCGAAGAGCGGCTTCGTCATGACAGAGTTTTGCGATTTAGGGGAAATTTAGGGGGATTTTTGGGAAATTCAGGGTGAATTTAAGGAAATTTAGGGGGAACTTCGGGGGGTCCGTGCCCGGCTTCGGAGGTGGGTTGAGTACAGGATCAAGGACTAGGAGCTCCCAACTCTCAACTCCGAACCCTTCAGCACGTGGCTTCGGCCGGGAACAGTTGCGAAGATTTGGCGTGAGTTGTTCTGAAGTGGGCAAGAAGTCCCACGTCAGGAGTTCCATGTTCGGCTTTGTTGTAAGAGTTCCCATTCAAGTACCTTAAGTCAAGGTCCTCAGGAAATAGAAATACCCTCTGTGCAGAAGAAGAGATCCCGCTCCTGGTTCCCGAGCATTGCTCGATGCGGCGGGTCCTTCCCAAATGGGGGGCTTCTGAAAACAGGGGTACCCTTGTTGGGAGTTCCTAGAATGAAAATGAGAGCATTTTGGGGGTATAATCTGGGTACTCCCTATTTTCGACTGTGGGGTTTCGGAGTTTGAGATGCAGCCAGCATCCACCGCAGCCTCAAACCCGAAGAGCTCTCCTGTGTATCCCACATGGCTCCAGCAAAGGCTCAAGAGCTTGCGCGGAGATTTCCGGAGGTTGAAAGGTATCATGGCGACTTGGCAAGATTCGGGCTGGCGCCTAGGGCGTTCAACCTTCCCAAGCGCCTGACTGACACATGACACATGTACTGATGTTGAAGACACGTCTCGGATTCTAAACATTTTGTTGATTTGGGTTTCTAGGTTCAACATGTCAGTTGTCACTTGCATTTCCTGGTTCCCGCGTTAGGGGTCGAGTCAAACTTGGGTATGTACCCCAAGAATCTAAAACGCTAGGGAAGTTGCATGGTCCTGAAGATGGTTTTATACCAGAAATTAAGGGGTATGTCATGGTTACCCAATCCTGAAACTTAGATTCATGGCCACCGGTTTCTGCAGCCTTTGGGTCTTCTGGCTTCGAGCCGCGCAAGCCCAAGACCCGTCAACCCGGCCCATTTGCCTCACCTTGTAGCAGGAATCTCGACATCTGCTGGGGATGGGTTCAGAGTTAAGTGGCTCGTTACAGTGTTTCTTATGCAGAGTCTGGCCCTCGGGGGGTGGGGTTCCTCCTATGCCAAGGATGGGCTTGTACGCCATCGCCTGGGAACTCACCTTCATCCCTCACGTGCGTCCGGAGGGCCCACAAGCATTCCGATTCCGGAGACCAGCAGCCAGCCACGAGCGTCGGGGGCGTCGCTGGCAGTTCCCGAGGCCGGCGTCCAGGACCTCACCCCAGAACCCGCACACCCCGGAGCCCCCTTACACTAGGTAGGTTCTTGGGACATGTAACATTGTCCGCTATAGGGTCTAAGAGGGTTTCATGTTCAGGATTATCTTTCAGAGGGGTTTAAGGGCCATCCTAATACAGAGCACAGCAAGACAAGACTTCGAGGTTTAGGTTTCCAGACCTTTGCAGCAGAGCTTGCTGCTTTTGTACTGGGGTTTCTTTGGGCGGCTCGAGATGCCATTTTCTTTTGGATCTTTTGGAAGATCGTCACATCCAAGCTCAATCGGTCCCATAAACCCCTTATATACCCGCGCTAGAGTTCCTCGGGAGAGGGGCCGTGGCGTTTTTTTTTTTTTTTTTTTTTTTTTTTTTCAGGCAGTGGACCCTCATGCGATTCTGGCACCAAGAGTCACACGCTTTCCACCTCGCACCGAATAGCAAACCTCTAGGAGCCAGATGTGAAGCGACATGAAACCTTCGGGGTTAGGATCTAAAGGGTTGAGGGTTTAGGGTTGAAAGGCAGCGTTGAAACCCTCAGTGCACCGATTGCTCTGCGAGGACCCTGTGAGGCCAGCTACTTCGGACGCCGCCACCTGCAGCCAAGGCACGTGGCGGATTGGGGAAGTGGGCTTTTGAGAATGTAGGGTTCAAGGTTGACGGTTTATGATGCGTAGGGTTTGGACTGTTTAGTTTAGGGTGTGGGCCCCGGCACTAGGTGTGAAACATTGAGGTGCAGGTATTTTTCAGCATGATATTCGCAGGTTCAGGTTAGTTAGTTAGTTTTTGTGTGTTTGATGGGCTGGTGGTTGAGGGTTTAGGGTTGAGCGTTTAGGGCACGCACATGCACTCACAATCTCAAGCTTACTGCATTACGGATTCAATGTTCGAAGACCTTTGAGCTTGCTGGTACACCCTTCTCTGGATTCCATGTTGGGCACCCGGGATCCATCTCAAACCTCACCCCAAAGGAATATCCCCAAGAATCTCAGGCCCTAAAGCAGTAGGGATATGTTTGAGGGTGCCCCTTTTGGGGAGGGAGGTTTCGGATCCCAGGATCACGAGAATTCCGGCAATCCTGTTCTCTGTGGTGTGCTCTTTGCATGTTACCCCAGGTATGCTGCACTGCAGTCTCTGATCACCAGCAATGAGGTGCCATGAAGGCTCCGGACGGTTTAGGGGTCTGTCACCCAGGCCGCTGAGAGCGATAAAGGGCGAAGGCCCAATGCTTCAAAGGAGAATGCCGCAATGCCCAGCGTGGAGCGTTCTGAGCAATTGTCTGCTACATATATGGCTTTGTGTCTACTTCGCCGTAAGGGACATCATTGGAGATGATACTGTAGGGGTCGGAATGATTGCTAACAGTATTCCTTTAGGGCCCCTTTGTATTTGTACTATAATATTCCCCCCCTCCCCCCCCAAAAAAAAAACCTATTCTAATCATTTAGGCCTCCTATATTATGTGGTGTAGTGTCCTAGAGACCCTAAACCCTAAACCCTAAACCCTAAACCCTGAACCCTAAACCCTAAACCCTAAACCCTAAACCCTAAACCCTAAACCCTAAACCCTAAACCCTAAACCCTAAACCCTAACCCTAAACCCTAAATTATGGGGTGTAGTGTCGTAGAGGACGGCAGCGAAAGCAGCTGCAAGTCCCTGGCTCCGAGCTGCCTCGCATTGCTGGCCACGGCCGGGTGGTGTTCCGTTGCAACTGCAGGGGTTTAGGGTTTAGGGTTTAGGGTTTAGGGTTTAGGGTTTAGGGTTTAGGGTTTAGGGTCCCCCAAGTTCAAACTGGCTAGCACTGATAAGAATCAAGTTAAGAGACAGCCAGTTTGCTCGAAGTCCCTTATACCCTCGGGGGAAAGCCAAGTCTCGGGCTCGCCCGGCCGCCATGTATTTGAATGTATCAAGTCACAGCGGAGGTAGGGCTCAGACATGCATGCTTTTCATTGCTTCATTGCAGTAATGCGATTAAAGAGACCCGTCTGTCACGATCTCAGCCCTCATATCGACGTCTGCTGCAACTGAACCTAAAAAAAAAGTCTGACCTGTGCATCATATCTGGGCTCCGGCATGTGGCATCCGGGTGTCACTTTTCTTGCCCTTGCAGCAGCGCTGCAAGTTCGCTTGCTTCAACACTACGCAGCAGGAAGTCTTCCTGCCTGTGTCGCCACCACCTTCGAAGGCGAGCAGGCTCCCCCACCACGCCCGATCGTTAGCAAAGTATAGGAAATACTTCTGATTGCTTCTTCGCGCCGCGAGCAACCCAGGGCATTCACAGCATCCAGCAGCCATCTATGGAGGCAGTACCAGTACCAGTACGAGTACTAGTACAGGTACTTAGTACTACTACGACGACGACTACTACGATAATATTACTCCTACTAGTACTACTACTCCTGCTGCTACTGCTACTGCTACTGCTGCTACTGCTACTGCGGCTGCTACCGCTACTGCTACTGCTACTGCTACTGCTACTGCTACTGCTATAGCTGCTGCTACTGCGAGCTGGACGTGGACTTGGGCACGTACTGGACCCTGTTACCGAAGAGAGAGATCAGTGACCGATCAGACATGCGCACATAACATACGCAGAGGATGACGGCAGGGCTATGGCTTCGGACATTAGACATTTATGTTTATGCTGACCGGGCGGGGTTGTGCCTGGCAATGTGGTGTGGAATCAGCTCCGTACTGATGAGCTGCGTACTGATGGCAAAACTCTCGTTGTGTGGGGATGAGAGAAAGAGACTAGACTTACCCGATTGCCTGCCTGCAGTCGGGCTCCTCACACGCAAAATCGAAAGCTCTGGACACCCTTGAAGAGTAAGTGCATCCGGTAGGGCTGTTTTCACCATCTGCAATCGGGTTCAGTTCAAGGTTTACGGTTTGGGGTTTTGTATTTACGGTTCAGAGCTTTAGGGTCTAGGTCTTCATCTTGCATCCCTTGGAAGTTTCAAGCCAGAAAGCCCCTTAAAACCCTTGAGTCGGATCCTCAGCTTTCATAAATTTGAGCTTCCTACGCTGATTCGTCCCACTCTCAGAGTTTCGGGCTTCGGGGGGTTTAGGCTGGACGGCGCCCGTGTGTCAACAGTTTGGTAGAGCCCTCCCTGTAGTTTCCTGGCCAAGCCCCCACTGCTTAAATGTTTAGGGTTTAGGGTTTATGGTTTCGTGCTCAGGGCTTAGGGCTTGTTGAGGGTTAGGGGTGTAAGCTTCAACACAGGTTCCACAGCCCTAGCTAGGAGGAACCCTCCAACACATGTCAACGGAAAGTACACCTGTTGTGTTTTTTGTGCTTATAAGGTCTTTTTTTCAGGAAGTGTAGGGAGATGCCCAACAAGTCTGGGCCAGGACGTGCGAGTCCGACATTTGCTTTGTGTGACGCATGCTTTCTCCCCCGCTCCCGATGTCGGGTTTTGCCGTCACACACGACGAAGAACGGATACGCTTTCAGCCCGCACCCTGTCGCAAGTGTCCGGAAAATTCGTGCCTGAGCTCAAGTTGAGGGATTTAGGGAATTTAAAGGCGTTTACTGATTTAGGGTGTTTTAAAGGTGTTTGGCTCAGACAGCCTCAAGTTTTGTTGCCCGTGAGCTCTTCAGAGTCGAGACCGAAGCCACCCAACCCTAACATCATGAGCCCAGCCTCGGTAGGGAATGTCCGTGTGTGTGCGTGTGATCCCAATCCCTGCAGGGTTTAGGGTTTAGGGTTTAGGGTTTAGGGTTTAGGGTTTTTATATGCGAGGAAACTTTGAACCCGAAACCTTAAGCCCAGTAGGGACATGCCAAGGGCTGACAGTTTCTTCGTACGGTTGCCTAAAGCCCCCCCCCCCCCCCCCCACCCCCCCGTACCGACAGTATATGTTAGGACCCATATGTTCAGGGTGCCAAAGACAGGCAGGGACCATACTTGTGAGAGCTGGCCATCTACTTGTGGGTTTTGGGTTTCGGGTTTAATGTGAGGGTGAGTGTTTCGAGGCCAGGGCATACCCAGAAAATCAATGATATGATCCCAAAACACGGCTTCAGCAGGGACCGGCGCCTGAAGGGCACTGTTTTTGGTTGGAGCCCTGAAAAATCCTAAGCCCTGAAGTTGCTGCAATCCCTATGTTCCCGAAGTGGCAGGAAACCCTGAACCGGATCACTTCCCTCAGGGGGTGAAACCAGCAGACATGGAAACCAGCTGCTCCTGTCTCACCGGCGGAAAATATTCCTTTCCACGAGCCGCGCTCGAAGATTCTAAAGGAATCCTTGCGCTGCCAGCAGTTTGTGTATGCAAGTATGCACACAATTTAAAGTATACATATGGGTTTGTGTTTTTTTGGGGGGGCTCAGGTTTAAGAAGGGCACACGGGTTGCACACCCTCGAAACATACCCCGTAACATACCCCGAAACATACCCCCGAAACATACCCCGTAACATACCCCTGAAATTGCAGGCAAAGTAGCTCATGATGCCGCGAAACATACCCCCGAAACATACCCCGAAACATACCTCGAAACATACCCGCGAAACATACCCCGACCCCAACACGTGTCGCGCGCCTCCCCATTAAAATACAAACCCATATGTATATGTATATATACATATGTATATGCATATATATATATATATATACATATATATTTTTTCTAGATATGTACAGATGTGGCACCCCCCCCCCCCCAAAGAAGCTACGGGAACTGTGCTGTCTATTGCAAGTATCTGCTGTTTAGAGTGTCAGCGTTTGCAGAGGTTATATTGTTGGGTTTGCCCAGTTATTCTGTTCAAGGATTACATTGTAGATATGTGGTACCATATATACATATATATTCTGGCTTAGTTGCAGATTTCAGGATTACCGAGTTTAGGAGGTTGCCCGGTTGCCTGGAGGACTCAGTTTACTGTAGTATATCTATATATATATATATACATCTCTCTCTGTCTCTCATGAAACTATATTGATGAGACATAGAACCATGAATCTAGTGGGAGTGGGGGTGTAGCATGTATGTATAAATATATATCTCATATGCACACATATGAAAGCGCACACAGGCTTAGGGTAGGATAAGGGATGCCCAGAAGTATCCTTGAAACAAAGGGACGTCTTTTGAGACTAAGGTTGCTGGAGAACTTCGGTGTAAGGTTGTGCGCCACTTTCTGAAGGAACAAACAAGCCACAAGTCATGGGGTGCAATTCTGTGTTCTTGGGTTCTGGTGTACTTAAGCGATCGTCTAAGGTCAGGAGTACCTGGTAGGTGCCTTAAGAAACGCCCATGAGCCGCATACGCAAAAAACAGATGTCCTTTTTCTTCCCGTAGTTTACAAAGGAACCTAGATATTTGAGCTTCAATCCTGTATGGCTTGTCTTGTTTTGTAGAAGTTTAGCTGCGCGCACACATAAACTTTTTGCTTTCTATTTCAATAGATACAAAAATAAACATATATATATATATATATATATTTATTTATTTATTTGTTTAATTTCTGGTACATATATATGCTATAACACATATATAGATACATTTAAGTAGTTCGCTGTTTAGTTTGTTATTCCCTGGTTGTGGGGAAAGTCAGAGGACTGGAGTCTTTCTCATGCTTATGGAGTCTTCTCGCGCTTATGTACATGAGCTGCCGGCCAAAAGTGTATGGTTTGGGATGTTCCCCCTTATACGAACAGTCCTGAATAGGGATTATAGTCCTAAACCCTAAACCCTAAACCCTAAACCTTAAACCCTAAACCCTAAACCCTAAACCCTAAACCCTAAACCCTAAAACAAGACTGTTAGTATAAGGGGGAGCATCCCGCGAGTGTATGGTACATGGTGGTCTTCACTCCTTGCACAAAGCTGTAAACGCATTGTGGAGCTGTCTCGGCGTTGACTGCGATGTGCACTCTGCAAGCCAAGCCTTTCACCAGGGTTTAGGGTTTAGGGTTTAGGGTTTAGGGTTTAGGGTTTGGGGTTTAGGGTTTAGGGTTTAGGATAAGGGTTTAGGGTGAAACAAGGTGACCGGTGACTCAGCTCGGTACTTGGTTCACCAGCCTGGACGATTCGGGAGACAAGACTAGCTTATGCAGCGACGGCACACTGTCTGACTCTTCAAGTTGTGGTTGCTGCTCATTCCGAAACCTTGTCGTTCCTCAGCTCTTGACATGTTACCATCCGGATCTGTGTTGTGCAGGCTTGAGATATGTGTTTCTGTTGGGAATGCCCTCTTACAGTGCTCCTGCGACACATTTATTGTTGGGTAGGTTGGAAGTCTCAAGGCTCAGAAGATGCAGAGTAGGCCCGCCCCCCTGGTGTGGAGCCCTTCCCCCCAAAACCACAGCGAGACATCAGACAAAAACAACAAAGGAAATGCCCTTCTAGGAATGTCACTGCAGCGCAGCAGAGAGTGCATCCGGCAGCGCGTGAACACAGCCGCCTGTGCCATGCACGGTGCCCTCAGCAAGATTCTTATAGTGAGTACATGTGTACACACACACATACATATATATATATATATGGCCTATGTGTTTGAGATATCGGGTTCGCCTGTCGCTTCAGTGACTAAAGTCTTCGCACTTAGCATCTTAGGAATCTTCGAGCTGTTCGCGTTGTCAAAGCCTCTCCTCAGCATCGTCCAGATGATCGCAGAGGGGAACAAAAGAGATGCCGGAATGCCTGCCATGCCTTGCAAGCCTACAGTGGGGGTCGGAATAATTGCAGGTATTATTCCCTTAGGGTCCTTTTTGGAAAAGACTCTAATAACCCCAAGACCCTATGCTATTTATTCAGGGTTGAGGGGTTTAGAAGGTTTAGGGCAGTTGCCCTCGAGATTGAGCTGCCAAAAACACGGCCCTTGAAGAGTCTAGAGGTGCGAGGTTTAGAGGTTTAGAGGTTTATTGGGGTTTAGGAATGAGCCTGTACAGGGTTTTGGGTACAGAACGCGACATCCCCTCCACCTTTCCCAGCCCTATAGCAGCTAGAACGGTAACTCTCGGGCCTTTCGAGGTAGTTACAAGTGCACCCCAGGCTGGTCTCGGGTGAGAGCCTGATGAACGACGGCACGGCCATCGTTGTGTTCGCACCTCGCATGTAGGGTGTTGAGTTCTAAGCGGTGGCTGAGGGGCCTGTAACTTCCTTTTTGTATAGAACTACGTACCTCGTTTGCTTCTGGGGCCCATTCTCTGGGATTCTGATACTATCTCCTGTAGTGTAGAAACCTGAGGCTCCTCCCGGGTTTAGGGCTTAGACTTGTTCCGAAAATGCCAGGGACCATTAAAAACAATCCTGCCTTTAGGTGCTCATGCTCAAAGTGGTCCTTGGCGCCTCGTTGGACGCCACCTCCGTGTTGAAGTTCTTTGGAGACGTGGCATGAGAAAGCCCGAAACCCTTGAGAGCCTTAACACTCAAAAGCCCTAAGTTCTAAAGCCATCAAACCACCCAACCTTGGGCCCGTTTAGGAGAATCGGCTTGAGTTTCAGGCTTGGGGGCTTGCTGCTGCGGCGGTTGGAGGGTTTCAGCGGCATTGTGGAAGCTTGAGGTCTTTCAGTGTGATGTTCTCCTATATGTTCTCCTATAGGTTCTTCGCAAGGTTTTCATCACTGATTTCATAAGGGCGTTCATCAATGATTTCGCTTGGCTTCCCGTGCTCAGAACGCGAAAGACACCGAGCCCAACCCGAACTTCTGAAGAACAGATATTCGTGGGTTTGCGCAGAACATCATACAATTTCACAGATCTTCGTCGACTAATCTGTGAAGATCTGTGAGATTTTGTGAAAACCTGCGCAGAGCTGTCACAAGCGGCGAAGGACTGTGCAAACCTGAAATCGCAGGCTTTGTAAGCCCACCCAAAGACCCGTACCGCTGGAAGCTCGGCTCCATCCTTTAATCCGCTTGGTTCTTCTTTCGCTTGGTTTTGACGAAATCGAATCAGCCCGAAAATGCCAATAGGACCCACTCTGCTTGAAAATGCCATGTGATTTTGCTTGAATCAACTGGCTGATGGACTGGCAGGGAGGGTAAAACGGAATGGGTTGGGGTTTAGGGTTGCTGCCTTAAAGCTCGAGGGTCGTATGGCACTCCACAGCCTCAAGCTTGCATCTGGCAAGACTCTTCCAAGAACCGTCTCCACAGGCCACATGTCCTTGACCTCCATCGTCTTTGGTGGGCTGGCGGGACTGTTGGCTGCCACTCGACTTACATTCTGTACCACTTCTGCGGAGACCCACAGGGAATGAGAAGCCCACCTCGCAAAAAATATCCACATTTGCTGCCTCCCCAAAGCACGCAACCCCCTGAAATTCAAAAGCTGCACCTCCAAGGTGGCGATCATCGGCAAGTGCGCAGAGGAACGATTCCACAACGAAACTCCTAATGCAAGAGTGGTGTCGTTGTGGAAGTTGCCGGGCTATTCAGAAAGGGCGAAGGGCAGGTCTAAGTATATATATATATATATATATCTATATTTGTTATTCCTACATACATACATTTATATATATATATATATATATACATATTATATATACATACACACGTATATACATGTATGTATGTATGTATGCATGCATGCATGCATGCATGCATGCATGCATGGATGTGTGTGTGTGGGTGTCTGTGTGTATGTGTGTATGTGTTATGTGTGTTTGTGTCTATGTGTGTATATGTGTATGTGCGTTTGTGTGTATGTGTGTATGTGTGTATATGTGTATGTGTATATATATATATATATGCATGTATGCTCCCCCCCCCCAAACAAAAAAACAAAAATGACCCATGTTATATATATATATATACACATATCTGCATGGTTGCTATCGACGTCGGGGCCTTTTTCTGAGGGGCTCTGAGGACATCTTTTGCGTGGTGTAGAAAGCCTTCCAGCACTGGCAGTCTCTTTGAACGGTGCTGGTGGAGGGATTACGACGCCAAAACCTTGGAGGGTACTTTGGCTACGACTCAACGTGTGAACCTAGTAACTCCTAAGCCTGCCCAATGGCTTCAAAGAGTGAAGACCTGTCCCCTAAACTTCATGGCTCAGAAGTAGGGATTTCGGGAATGAGGATGCTCGAGTCCCTTTAAAGAACCATCCAAGAGTACCTTTACTTCCCGAACCCACTGATGTTTCAGGAACATCGGTAAATGCACCCGAAGCCCCAAACTCTGAGCTCTTAACCCAGCGCCCCAGCATCCTGGGAAACCTCGGTCCCAGGTGTTTGGGGGCTTTCGGGCTTAGGGTGTCCACATGTCTCGTCTAAGGACACGCTGATTCAGATCATCACCACGCTGCCAGGCGGCCTTAAGGAAGGCGAACTCATCCCCTCAGGGCCTTCGAACCTTAGGGCTTACAGGCAAAGAGGGATGCAGCCTTTCAACCCTGAACCCCTTTGAACTTCCTAAACCCTGTGGAGTAAGAACTCCTCTTGAAATCCCAGAAACCCCCAAAGACCCGGAAGCCGACGAAGTTGTCGGTACCCATCAACTCGAAACCCCCAGCCAGCAATCCATGTGGGTTTATATGGCCTTTAGGATTTCTAGGGTTTCGAGAGGTTGTCGGGAATCTCCCAAACAGGGGTACCCCATTTTCGACCCCAAATAGAAGAGAATCCCCTTAAAGGCACCCCCAAAAAGGGTACCCCCATTTTCGGAAACCCGCATGTGGGGTTCAGGGTTTAGAAATTTGGTGGGGGAAGGTTGTGCTGCGCATACTTGGCCTTCTTTGTGGCAGAGAGCGAGCTCAGCACGAGCGGAGTTCTGGCCACTCGCCATACATGTCGGGGTTGTGTTTAGGGGTTTTAGGGGTTTAGGGGTTTAGGGGTTTAGGGGTTTAGGGGTTTAGGGGTTTAGGGGTTTAGGGGTTTAAGGGTTTAAGGGGTTTAGGGGTTTAGGGGTTTAGGGGTTTAGGGGTTTAGGGGTTTAGGGGTTTAGGGGTTTAGGGGTTTAGGGTTTAGGGTTTAGGGTTTAGGGCTTCTGCAATAGGAAGCCCCCCAAGAATCCGACTTTAACCCATAGGCCCGACAATACATCCCGTAAAAAAACTGTATTATTAGGCCCTATAGAAGTATTGCAAACGCCAAACCGTCAACCCCTCTAAGGAGCTTGCTGGGTCTCTGTCATTGTCTTTTTTGACTCGTCTAAGGCATGTCCCGCAAAGGCCCAGAATTTCACATGTGCCCTGGTCCTGATGCACGGCCGGCTCACGCACACCTGTCGGCTGGGGGGGGGGGGGGTTTAGGGTTTAGGGTTTAGGGTTTAGGGTTTAGGGCTTAGGGTTTAGGGTTTAGGGTTTAGTGTTAGGGTTTCGGGTTTAGGGTTTAGGGTTTAGGGTTTAGGGTACCTATTCCAGCCAAAAAGTGGCAAACGAGGGGTGTGCAAGTGGTCAAGCTGTGTTGGGCTGCTTTATGCTTCCCAGACACCTACGGTCCGAGGCCTCGGCGGATTTCGCACAACAGCCCCCACGTGGGCAGCTCTCTACATCATGAGGGGGACGCCCTAAATTATGAGGCTCCCTAGTGCTTTAGAAGCAAACCTAGACCCCAAGCCCTAAACCCCCTAAACCCCCTAAACCCTAAACCCTCTGTGGAAAACTCTACACTCGAAGCCGAGGCGACAGTTTCGGCCGGCTTCGTTGCCTCTCACCTCGAATGAAAGGGACCCCCTGCAGTTGCTTGATTTTTTTCTTTTGGGGGGAGGGGGGGTGGGGGGTCAGAAGCTACAGAGTCTCTCTGATTCTTGCCAGAAGGATCCCCACAAGGATGCCCTAATTGGGGATTTGGGGGGGCCAATTCTTGAGTTGCTTCGGCTTGGGGAGGGTTCTCCTCCCCTACAAGTGGATCTCAAGCCTGCCAGAGTGTCGCTCATCGCAGCTATCCCTGAGAAGCTGAGCCAGAAATTTGTCAAATGACAGAAGGCCTAAACCCTAAACACCGAAATCCTAAGCCAGACTACCCCTATAACCCTACAGAGCTTCCAGATGCGAAGGCGCTGGGAAGCCCAGAATAGCTCCACCTTCCCCTACCGCTCCGAGCTTACATAAACACAGAAAGGTATAAAACATGTGCAAAAGTAGTTACAAGATGTATACAAAAGTACAAAAAAATGTCCTCGACCTTATCGCTGGCAGCCCCAAAGCCGTGATCCCACACACTGGGGCCTAGTCTGGAATGAATACTCTGTGCAGGTTTTATTTCGATTCTTGTACTCGTGCTGTGAGAGGATGCTTGGGATTATTGCGGCTCCTGCTCTCTTTTTTTTCCCCCCAGAGGTCGCCTACTACGCCTGGCCCCGGTTCGTCTCTTTGGAGGCGCGAGAGCATGGGAACTGCAACCGAGAGAAGCTGTCTGTGGGGGTTCTAAGGGAGATTATGGTGCCTTAGAGGCCTTCAGATTGCATCCGTTCCCGAGATGCTCGGAAAACGGAGAGGCCCCCTCAGCTTTAAACTTGTTGGGCTTCCTTTACATGTTGTATTGCCTGGTTGCGGGATAAGTAGCTTGCACCCCATTCCAAGCCAGCAGCAACTCGGAGCTTGACCAAGCAACCGATGATCACAACGAGGCAATGGAGATCGTTTGGGAGACTGTGGAGTTTGTCGGCAACACGGCCACGGCCTCAGTGAGAGCTTTGGGCAGGATGGGTTGGGAGCTCATACGACATGCCTTTCCTATCTCTTCGAACCATCGAAGGTCATCTTCTTTCTGGCCGGCCTCCTCTTTGCAGATACTGTGCTCGAGCCCGTGGTTTGCATTTAGGCCATGATCCTGCTACAAGGGGCTCAACGTTGGTTCTTGAAAACATTCCGCTTTGTTTCAGGACTCCCGAGTCTTCGAAATCAGGAAACGGTACTGCGCCTAAATCCTCAGGCCCAAAACCCTGAACCCCAAGCCCCAAACCCTGCGTCAACATGCGTTTAGCACTAACTTGCAGAGTATCATGAACCATGCTGAGGATTCTCTTAGCCTCATCCACCTCAGTGACTTCGGCTGCTCGGCATTCATCCTACCGTGGGGGGCTCATATTTGGGCCTGTGTAAAATGACAATTTCAATTTCATCTTCGTTGTAAACGGGTTAGGAAGGAATCCTGTTTGTAGTACATTAGGCCCATGCATTGCATGAATGCTTTTGGGATTTCAGACTATGTCGACGTCAATCAATCAGGATTGTCGTGGCATACAGCGTCTACGATTCTACAACCATGCCTTGCTCATAAATCACAGCCCACGCGAAACTCATGGGGTACGTGATCGAGTCGAGGTCAACCCTATACCCCAAACCACAAGGGTGTTTGGTTTTTGGCAGCCATGCAATTTCGAGTAGCTTCGAGGGGGTGCTGCACTCTAGCTCCATGGACTCTGGTTAAGACGGTGAAGAGGCTTAGCTGAGATCAGAATGGCCGTCCCTCCGGCCGGCGAGACTAAAACCAGGTCTCGTGCTAAAGCTTAAAGAAAACCTAGTTGTGCCGCAATCCCTTTGACAATCATTTGTGGCTAGGCTTTTGTTTTGTAAAGGTTCATAGGGCATAGGTCGGTACTTCTGGCAGAACTTCGGGCGGAAAAAAGGGAAACCAGGCAGGACCCTGCAAAGTTGTCCCTGCAGAACCCCTCTATGTATGTTGCATGCCCTCTTGAATTTACATATGCCCCTACATTACACAACCCCGTCACATCCCACGCCCGAGCTAGAGAGAGAGCGAGAAGAAAGAGAGAGGGAGAGAACCCGATCACTTCATACAGAGAAGATTAGGTTCGCACAGCTATGCGGGAGTGCAGAAACATTGATTGCGGAATGCCGGCGGCGCTTGCAACGCCGATGCTGCATACAACTCTGGCGATTTGGACAGCCGGTTTTCTGAAAGAGTGTCCCTTACAGGACCTCACAGTTTTTTCAAGGCCAAGACCTAAGCCAACGAAAGGGGGGCGCTGCTAAGAGTGGCTGATAAATGCTTGGGGTTGGGCACTTTTCAGGCTACTTGCTGATGATCTATCTCGCGCTGCTCGTGATCCGGGCCCTCATGCTCCCCAGCTCGGCGATTTAGGGTTCAGGCAAAGGCCCTTGCTTCGGTGTGCAGGGCTTTGGGCTCGGGACCTTAAGGATAGCCGCGGATTGCCACAGCCTGATGGCAAGCGCGGCAGGTACATATTGCAGGATTCAGGTATGTTGAGGGCTACTAGAGGGGGTTTGTGAGGAGAGCAGCAGCGGTGTGTACTAATGTCTCACCTGTACGCCCAAATACTGAAATCACCGTTGTTCTCCGCCTGTGCTCCCTGTAGCAGTCTTTATGGTTGAACTACCCAAAATTCCTGTCTAGCTATTCAGAAGCCGTGGAGAAGCTCCTTTGACATGGATGACATAGATCCGGGGCCCTCAATGCTAATCAAAATGAATGAGGCCCTGAGCCGCAGTCTCTACTGTACTTCGGAGCCAGTGCCCCTGCGTACGTATCACTGAGGAAGCCCCCTTGGCTTGCCGATGTTTTGTGGCTCTGAACATGAAGGCCTTATGTTTACAAGGCTTACGGCTCAGGTCAACTGCAAAAGACGAGAGGGTCGCAAGCACTGTGTCGTTTCAGCCAGAGCCGACTTCGGGTTTGAAAACTCCATCTTTTTGAATAGGGTTTGTGGTTTAGGGTTTCGGATTTACGGTTTAGGGTTTAGGGTTTAGGGTTTACGGTTTAGGGTTTAGGGTAGCTTGTGCCAAAGCCCGAGAGGCATGCAGTGTTTGCAGCTGAATTTAACTTGGGCTGTGGTGAATTGCAAAAACCGCAGGGTCAAAGCCATGCAGCCCGCAGAAGATACTGAGGCTGGCGATTCTTTGGATTCCGCTCAACAAGGTGCCACCTGAGGGAGAGGAGGTTTAGGTTTAGGGTTTAGGGTTTATAGGGTTTAGGCTTTAGGCTTTAGGGTTTATAAATAGGGTTTAGGGTTTAGGGTTTAGGCTGATTTCTTGGGTCTGGATCAGTTTTGCGGACATCCAAGAGAATGCCGAAGTGCGAAGCTTTGAGCCCGAATGCCCAACCCTTGACGCCGCAACACCGTCCCCGTCGACGCACCCGCGAGCTTGAAAGGTTCCCAAGTGCACTTCCCTCCAAGGAAGCTCACCCTAATGAAGCCCTAAACCTCAAACCTTAGACTAAATGCTTAGTTCGCAGGTCTGAAGTCGTCACCTCACCCCAGCCCTTTGCCCTCATTCTTTGCAGGTTCAGCCCTCACCCCATTAACACCCAATGCCACCAACCCCTGATTCGGGTTTTTTGGGGATTTTTGGTAGCATCCGAAGCCTTGGTCATTGAGACCCAAAACCTTGAGCCCGCGAAATTCCAGGTGGGCTCACCGGTAGACTGGCGCGAGGCCGTCGCGATGATCTGGAGCGGCCTACGAGGCAACAGGGTCTCGGCGAAGTCGGGGAATCCAAGCCTTAAGCCCTAAAAGCCCTGTGTTGTGAACCCTCGTGGTGTCAAGGGCTTGTGCACTTTTAACCTCTAGAAGCCCTGTATGGGACGTTGTGGGATTCGGCTCCATGTCATCCGGTGTGTCTAACCCCTCAAAGGGGTTGTTCAAGTTTAGGGTCTTAGGGCTGCTTCAGCCAGACCTCTAAGGAGGCCCGACTTAGCCTTCTTGTTTTGCAATGGTTCGGGAGTTTCTAGAATCCAGAATCGGCTGAAGCCCAAGAATCTGGGGTAAGACAGCTCCCAGAGGCGAGCTCTGCCTGGTACATCCTCAAGTGGGGAGGGGGTCTCTGAGATTTAGTGTCAACTTACAAGGCGTGTATTTTAACACCACATAAGCTTTCAATCCAGCTTCAAAGGTGGTGAGTCCCTCACAGCGATAACGATACAAACCGCGACACGCTAAAGCATTCAAGCCCGTTGTAGCTCAGCGACTCCATTTTGTTTTGGGTTTAGGGTTTAGGGTTCAGGGTTCAGGGTTTAGGGTTTAGGGTTTAGGGTTTAGGGTTTAGGGGGGGAGGGGGGGGGGCGGTCTCGGGCTGAAGTTTTGGCGTTGGGGTGTGCCCCCCTTGCACTAACAGTCCCTAAGGGGGATTATGATATAGGGAGAGAGGGGGGGGGTACCCTAATCCCTATGAAGAACTGCTAGTATAAGGGGGCGGGCCATCCCCAAGTTCGGTGTTTCGGTTTTTGCATCCCTAAACCCTAAACCCTAAACCCTTAACCCTTAACCCTAAACCCTTAACCCTTAAACCCTTAAACCCTAAACCCCAAAGCCCCCAGGCGCGGTGAGCTTAACCCTGGCAATCATCATCGACGAGGAGCCCTTGATCTCCAGGCCGATGGCGGTTCCTATACCTAGGAACCCCCCCTCCCTCTTGTCCCCTATAATGTATAATACGCAATAAAAATAGATACTACATAAAGTATTCAAAATATACTATGTATATATATATATAGGATTTTTGTAATATAGAATATGTAATATATAATATGTAACATACAATATGAGATACCTTGGCTACACCGGGCAAGGTACCTTAGACCCCCTGAAGGGCTACAGGCGGGTGCGGATAGGGCGTTGGAATTTGGAGCTTAAATTGTGTAACGGCTGAAGTCTTCGCTTCCGAATACTCATGAGAGCCAGTGCTGTCAAGCAACAGCCCTCCCGATCTTTGTGTATTTGCGTGCCAGGCCTTCTAATGTTCGCGGGACAGCCCAAGTCCATCCCTTCAATGCCTTCCCGAACCGGCCATGTCGCAAATTCTAGGACCCAGAGTAGGCCCTCATTCTCGTTTACAAGGGTTTAGGTTCCCTGATTAGCCCCTTGTAACCAAAAGTGGCACCCTTTTCATTCGCAGGTTCGTCTTACGTCTAGAAGTACGATTACAATAGCTGCGAAGACGTCACAAGGATGGTCTGTTCATGAGTCCCACCAATCATCCCGTGACCCCAATCTCCCGGAAGAACACACACACACACAAACGAACAACACACCCTACTCGTATCTCTCGGGTTTTGTGGTCAAAGGGCTGCCAAACAAATCCGAGAACCTGGCAGCAAGCCGTAAACCCTAAACCCTAGACCCTAGACCCAAAACCCTAAACCACAACATTCAGCAAGATCCTAACTCGAAGCCCTGGTACTCGGCAGGGAGATGGGTGCGCGCATCATGTTTCACGTGGGCGGCGTGGCGGCGCTGACGCTCCGGAGCCTGAAGAGTGTCGTTACTTACATCTCTCTGTCTATATATATATATATATATATGCATAATATGTATATATATATGTATATATTTATGTGTAGTATGAATATAATGGCTCTTTGTTGTTTTGTTCTGGAGAGCTGCGCGGCTTCTTTTTGGGGGGATCCCTAAAGGTCTGGTTGTGATATAAGCTGGCAAAGACAAGGTCCAGCAGCACCTAGGACCCTTTTAGGCTTCCAGAATCCCAAAGCGGCCACAGGCTGTTGGTCAACGCAACGACCGCAGCGCCGCTCCTGCGGGCCTTGGGCCTGGCAAGGACACAACTGCTTTGGCTTTAGGGTTTAGGGTTTAGGGTTTAGGGTTTAGGGTTTAGGGTTCAGCATCTCAAGTTCGAGCATTTACTAGGCCAGCAGTGTGTGTAGGCAACGGAAAAAACCCACCCGCCCAAAGAATCCCATAACATTAAGAAAATAAAAGGTTTTTCTTAATTTCTAGTCCGACGCACCCATGCCGTAACGTCTCACCCCTTCCAAGCACATCGCCCCCCGATAACCAAGACCTGGAATCATGCATTTTCACTGTCACTCGTAACGTCTCACCCCTTCCAAGCACATCACCCCCCGATAAGCCCTGGAATCATGCATTTTCACTCGTAACGCCTCACCCCTTCCAAGCACATCACCCCCCGATAAGCAAGACCTGGAATCATGCTTGGAAGGGGTGAGATGTTACGAGTGAAAGTGCATGATTCCAGGTCTTGCTTATCGGGGGGTGATGTGCTTGGATGATGTGCTTGGAAGGGATGAGACGTTACGAGTGAAAATACATGATTCCAGGTCTTGCTTATCGGGGGTGTGCTTGGAAGGGGTGAGGCGTTACGACGGGCCGATCCTGGGGTCACCCAGGGGGGGGGGGTGGCGGGGGGGGGTGGGGGGGGGTGGTGGCCCCCTCTCTGAAGGTTTGAAAATCCGGATCAAAAAGGGGCCCTGGCCGATGTGGGGTCACCTCATTTGGGGAGGGGGGGGGGGGGGGTGGGGGGGGGGGGGGGGGGGGTGGGTGGGGGGGGGGGGGTGGGGGGGGGGGGGGGTGGGTGGGGGGGGGGGGGATGGGTGGGGGGGGGGGGGGGTGGGGGGGGGGGGTGGGGGGGGGGGGGTTTGTGGGGGTGGGGGGGGGTGGGCGGGGGGTGGGGGGGTGGGGGTGGGGGGGGGGGGTGGGTGGGGGGGGGGTGGGGGGGGGGTGGGGGGGGGGGGTGGGGGTGGCTGCCTAAAAACGGCGACCTTGCCCAGTTAAAACGGCGTTTTACTTGGGCAAGGTCGCCGTTTTACTGGGCAAGGTCGATTTTGGTTTTACTGCGACCTTGCCCAGTAAAACGGCGACCTTATCGACCTTGCCCAGTAAAACGGCGACCTTGCCCAGTAAAAAGGCGACCTTGCGCAGTAAAACGGCCGTTTTACTGGGCAAGGTCGCCGTTTTACTGGGCAAGGTCGCCGTTTTACTGGGCAAGGTCGCCGTTTTACTGGGCAAGGTCGATTTTTTGACCAAAATCGACCTTGCCCAGTAAAACGGTGACCTTGCCCAGTAAAACGGCGACCTTCGGTCACAAAATCGACCTTGCCCAGTAAAACGGCGACCTTGCCCAGTAAAACGGCGACCTTGCCCAGTAAAACTGCCGTTTTACTGGGCAAGGTCGCCGTTTTACTGGGCAAGGTCGCCGTTTTACTGGGCAAGGTCGATTTTGGTCAAAAAATCGACCTTGCCCAGTAAAACGGCGACCTTGCCCAGTAAAACGGCGACCTTGCCCAGTAACTCCTTAACATTTAAATTATATATGAAAGAGAGGTTTAGGGTTTAGGGTTTAGGGTTTAGGGTTTAGGGTTCCCCTGCCGCCCCACATCAGCCTATATCATCTGAACCGAGTAAACTCCCACTTCCCGCTAGACACGCGCAGGATGCGTGTGTGTTGAGGAGTTCCCTCGCAGACGAGAAGAAGCTGGCAGTGCTCTCGAAGCATTTGGCCGAGCATACTGCCCACGCCATGGCAGCTGCAGCCCGGCAAATCACTCGTGGAGCCAGAGTCAGACGGGTATTTCATGGGTTTTGTTGGCTCCCCAAGATTGGGGTGCCCTGATTTCCCCCAAAGGGTACAGGCCTGTAACAACCCACTCCTATTAGGTACCGTCATTTGGTAACTCCCGGATAGACACAGCTGACCGCAGAGTTGTTTAGCGGGGGAGGTTCAGAGGTTCAGCACCCGGGCTGCAGGGTGTTGCTGGGTCCACTGGTTTTTGGGGCCTGGCCTTTGGCATAGACCACCTTTGCCGAGCTTCATAGGCTGTGAGTGGGTTGGATTTTGTGTGTGCGTGTGTGTGCTTCCTCAGTCTATCGTGCCATTTGCAACATGCTGGATCCGGTACCTCCTGAACCCCAAACTCTGAACTGAACTGTCGCGTGGCTTGGAGCTGCGAGATCAGGTTGCCACTCGACGCAGCAATATATCTGTCCGTCACATCTGTCAGTTCTTAGCAGAAAGATGTTTGTACATGCATATGGCTGTCTGTGCTTATTTCATATCGAGGCGCGGGAGGACAAAACTGACATGCGCTTCATTGGCGCGGACGAGGAGCGGTTCGTTGAGGGCTTCGTGTAGGGTCTTACGGTTTCGCTGTTTGGTGAGTTTTGCGGCTGTCCTCAAGGCTGTTAAAGGGGTATGAGCCCGCTATGAAGACCCCATAGAAGAAGAATAACAAGAAGAAGAAGAAGAAGAGAAGAAGCTTTTGAGACGCCCTCAACGTTGTCCGCACGTACGCAAGATAGAGATAGGTTTTCAGTCATGTGAAGTTTTGTGGATGCTAGATTCTGCTAGGTAGTGTCTGACATATGTAGAGAATGCTGCCGACAAGATGGAGTAGCAAAATGACATATGTCGTTCTGGAAGAGGTTGCAGTGTTACGCATGCATCGGTCATGCCAAATGCTCGATCATCAACAAGTCGCCGAAAAAAGCTCCACGGTGAGTTTGGCATGTGCCAGAGTGCGTGCGAGTGCATGGCAAGAAAGAAAAGACATAAAGAAAGAAAGAAAGACATGAAGAAAAATAACTGAGAATAGAGAGGGAGATAAAGAAGAGAAAAAGAGAGGGAGCGCGTGCGCTTCCGTGATCTCGAGGTGGACAAGGTGAGCCATGTGGACAAAGTTGAGCCATTCCATCTTACGTCATGGTGCAAGGCAGTATTAACCATGCAGCATAGCAACTATAAATTCCGCATGCGCCTTTCGACGTGACTGCTCAGGTTGTGTTTTAATCACCGCGGGGAGGGCTGTCCGTGGTTTTTTGCAGATTGCCGTTATCGCCCAAACAGTCGGGGTATGTCACGTTATGTCTTCGATCAAGCCTAACGTGGCCGCATGTTCCATATTACTGAATTCCGTGATTCCTAAGCCCTAGTTATAGACGCTGAGCCCTGAGAAAGCACCTCGAAGCCCCACCTGGGGGCTACGATAGTAAGGGACCCCGTTATCGTAGTACCCCCTTATAATAAGGACCCCAATAAGGTACCCATTATATCGTAAGCCCCACCACGCATCCATCCCCTTGTGACAGGGTCTTCTCCGACAGATGGTCCCGGCACTTTCGCAAGAAGCCTCCGCAGAGGTACGGCCCAGCCGGGTCTCAAGAGGTGTTTCAGGGGTCCATGGACTTAGGGTTTAGGGGTTTAGGGGTTCAGGGTTTAGGGTTTAGGGTTTGGAGGTTTAGAGGTTTAGAGGTTTGGAGGTTTAGGGGTTTAGAGTTTTGGGTTGAGGGGTTTGAGTAATGCTGCCAAGGCCCGTAGTCCCAACCAGAAAGGGTGTTGCAGGTTTCGGCCCGCTACTTGGGGCCTGATAGTGCATCCAAACTGTTTCGGGGCCTGAGGGGGGCTTTGAAGTAGGGCTGTGCAGGCCATAGCATATGGCTGGCCCGAAAAATATCGAAGCCCTAACGGATGGTGTCGGTGAGGCCCGAGGCCGCCCGGCCTCCACCATGTCAAACAAATCCTTAGCCGACCTGAACTTCCGAAAGGCCCCTGAACTTGGGCCCGAATACATGGGCCCCTACATTGCAACCTGAAGGGGGATTAGGGGTGTATAACCTGGATAAATCCTGAGGGTTATCACTCCGCATGTCCGAGACAGGTCACAGGCGACGGCGGCGAAACCGCGCAGGCCTACCGTGAAGCCTTCCTCAACGTCGCTCCGGCCTCAGTGTTCTTGAGCAAGGCACTCTCTGTGCATGCACGGTTGCTGGCAAGCGAAGAGAAGAAGTAGCTTTGATCAGCTTCTTATCCACGAACCCCATTCTGAGCGACGTGAAATCCAGCAAACATCATGATTATTGTCATAAGATCACTATGTCGAAGGTTCTTATACACAAAATGCATATCTGATGATCTGCAGGTTCTGGATTGTGTGTATTTGTGTCTTTGGTCGTATGCTATGCACTGGATTTTATGGCCCAACAAACAGAAGGCAGACAGCAATATGGGGGGGGGGTCGTAATAATTACTAATCATATTCCCTTATGGTCCCTTTATAAATATTCATCATTACCCCCCCAAAACCCTTTTCTAATTATTAAGGCCCCTATATCTGGCCCCAAGAGTCCATATAGCTTCCCTGTCTTGATCGGGTTAGGGTTCTCGACAGCCACTGTTTGTAGTGACTCATAGCACTTCCCAATGTAACCCTAGCCCTAAACCCTAAACCCTAAACCCTAAACCCTAAGCAGGGTTCGGGGAGCTCCCCGTTGCATTGCCGCCTTTCTGATGAAGTTTTCGGCCTTCAGGGTCTCGATGGTGAGAGCAGGTTCTTGAGTTGTGGGGTTCAAGAGCTACATATTGGGATGTTCCTCCCTATACTAACAGTCCTCAATAGGGCTTATACTTCGGGCCACTCTAGTCCCTACCAAGGACTGTTAGTATAAGGGGGAACATCTCAAGCACTGGAGGCCTTCAGTGACTCAGAGATGAACTTAAAGAGAGTCTCTTGGTGGGTGCGCTGCGCTCAGGTCAAGAGTCACTACTGGTCGGCCATCCACAAGGGCCCCTCGGTTGGCACACCGAGGGGGTTTAAGGGTGTATAAGGGTTTACAAGGGTTTTCATAAGGGTTTATAAGGGTTTACAAGGGTTTACAAGGGTTTATAAGGGTTTACAAGGGTTTATAATGGTTTATAAGGGTTTATAAGGGGTTTATAAGGGGTTTATAAGGGGTTTATAAGGCTTAAGGGTTTAGGGTTTGGGTTTTCAGAGGAAGGGGCTTACCGCAGTGAAATGTTGGAATGACAGCCGGGCTTGTGGGGGGTAAGACCAACCCGCATCCCCCGTGAATGAAGCCTGACGATTGAATGCTCAATAACACAGAGAGAGAGAGAGAGAAAATCTTGGTCTGACTGCCACATTGGAAAATCAGCTTCGCCCTATATCGGCCAGAACCTGGGAAAAAGTTTCGGGCATGGTTGAGATGCAATTACACCTCTAGCAGCCTTTTTGCTTGGCGGGATCCGCGCCCCAACAGTCCGAGGCATCTTGCCACGCACCGCCGAATCTGCCAGGCACCATCCCACCAGTTGCTCAGGGTTTCGGGCTTCTGGATGCTTCAAGAAAGCAGAGTCCCCCATGCTTATTTCAGTCTAAGATGCTTACAATAGTTCTCTCGGTGTTGGTTGCCTTGGCGGTAGCTCGTCATTGTCTCGCAATGCTCTGCGTTCTGGTGGTGTCATTATCACCTTTTGTTTCTGTTGTTCAGGTGGTTTAGGTTCCTTGACTCTTGTAGGTGGAACTGCTTGTATAACAGGTTTGACCGCTACTGTACATGCTTTGGATTAGCTGGTGTATTTTCAATTTTACCGTTACATGTATGAGAATCTTCGTGTTTTAGTGTCATCTCTGCTTGGCATCCTTCTCATTGTTTTAAGCTTTCATCCTCTGTTGATTTTTTTTTTGTGCTCCTGCGGTGCCTCCTTTGGTGTCTCTTCTGATCTTGGTTCTTCAACTTCTTCGGGCACTTCTTCATTATCATTTTGGGTGTCTTCTTCAATAACTGTTTCAAGTGTTTCTGACAAATAATATTTTTGTTTAACAAATGTAATTTTCAATACTATATACATTTCTTAGTCCCCAAAAATGTAAGAGTAAAGGATAGATTCACCTCAATTAATTCACATTGTTGAGATGATTGCTAATACGAACACATGTAACTTACGAAGCATTCTGCCGCTCACATCAGTAGAATCTGCGGCGCCTAAGTCACTATCACATATCACACTTCCAAGATGAGGGAAATTAACGGGAGCTTTCTTTGACGATGCTTGCATTGCCCGCTGCGGTTGATTGGTTGTAGTTGCTAATGTGAATCGATGTTTCTTCCTGGCGTTGAGTCTATAGAATTGGTGGTATAAGGTGCTGCATTCGTGTAAGCGTCCGAAGCAGGTGTTGTATTGCCTGCTACTTGGTATATTGAGTAGAAGTTGTTAACATCTACTGGGTCATAAGATGCTCCTGCCACTGGTGCTATTGCTCCATCGGTTAAGACAGCAACAATAATAGTAGCATAATTAGAAGAGAAGGTATATTTGTTGGCTGATCTATTATCACCTACACTAAAGAGTATGGACTAGGTCAATCAACTGTATCAACCAGCAGGTCAAGTGCTTTTCTACTGTTCGTGCTAAATCAACTGCTGTAAAGTCGCCTTCTGGAGTGGTTACTTTACGATATGTTATACCTGCTATGACACCTGGGGCAATAACCTGATATCTAAACATGCTTTTAATTTGTGCTGTTTATTGAACACCACGAAGGAGGAATGCTGACCTCATGAAACTGACATAACACATTATCCCTTAACTGGACTGTTTCAAAACAAATGTAAATTTGGATGAAGTGCCACTTACGTTCTTATAACTATAGATATAAACCTTCTTGAAGTTAAGCATAATTAATCGAATTTAAAAAATGTATATGTTTATATGTTTAAGCATGAAGGGAGAAATGAAGGGGTTTTATACAAGGCGCCTAATACACGAAACAAATTACACCATGAAGTTTGAGCTGAACGAAATGAAAATGAAGCTCTTCTAAGGGACACGCAAGGGCTTGAATTCGCCTATGAAAACCCTGACAGAATACAGCAACCTGCTTCTATATTTTATACATTGCTGGGACGGGTTTATAAGGTTTAAGGAGCCCCCTATGCCTTCGCAACCTCGCGACCCCTCTGTGGAGGCTTTTGCTGAACTCTGTTGACGTTGCCATGGACAGTGCCTCCGAGACACTTGACAACGAGGTGTGGCCAGATGTTGCTCTCTTCAAGCTGGGGAGGTCTTCAGCTTGCGACTCTGAGGCGTAGGGTTCTTCGAGTCCTTGGCTTTGTTTAGGCTGTTTGAGGGTGCACTTGAAGTGGCACGGCAGCCAAGGATTCTGGCGGCGGCTGGGCAAGCAGAGAGCTACAGTGCAGGTAGGCATCCTAGGCCCCGGATACGTTAGCGGTCGCAGACATGCATGTTTTGCGGCCTAGCCTTGGGCCAGCAGGTAGGTTCCCCCCCCTGTAGTACCCGGTGGGCTGCACTGATCTGACGGTTGTTCTTTTGCAACATAGCAAACCGGAGCCCTTCAGACCGCAAAGCCCGAACCCCGGTCCAGAACATTGTCACCCCATAAGCCCGAAAAAAGCCTCAGCCGTTGCAACAAGCCCTAACCCTAATCTGAAGCTCCAAACTTCTAGGTTCTTGAAATCTCTTGAGGACTGGGCCTTCATCTACGAAGCCCTCGAGCCACCTAGACGGGGTTTAGGGGTTTAGGGGTTTAGGGGTTTACGGGTTTAGGGGTTTAGGTGTTTGAGGGTTTCGGGGTTTGCCCAGGTTCACGGTTGCAGGAGGCAAGGGTTCGGTAGAAAGACGGGAACGGGGGTGGGGAGGTGAATGTGGCAAACGCTCAAACCCACAAACGCTTGAAGCGGGGAGTCCATACGCCCTATACCCTCAACCCGTGTTTAGTGCCAAGGGCGCCCAAGAATCAACTTGCCCGCCTGGCGGGGGAGTACAGCATGGGCGAGACCATGCAGAAGTCCTATTGCGTGCCCGGCACGGCGATAGAGGGCGGAGTGGGACTTTTTTGAGGATTGATTACTTTGGGGGGCTTTCGGCAGGACATTGTGCGCTTTTTGGGTGGGTCTCAAGGTCTCAAGAGTTGGACCTGGAATTTCCCCAAACGCCCTTGCCCATTTCTCAGGTGCTCTCATTTCTGGAAGCGCACAGGCAAGCAAGAGAAGAGCTACCACGACCCTTGGCTCTCCTAAGGCGAGTAGCTTGCACTTTCAGATCCCGTTTTTGGGACAGTGCCAGGGTGAGTTTGGGTGCTGATGAGGGGGCAGGTAGGCACTTTGGGGGTGCGAATCACGCCCCCCAACCTCCCCCTTAGCTGCACCCCCGATGCGGAGAATGACCACGACGGAGGAGGGAGATTTCTTAATTCTATGATCCGAATCATGGAATCAGGTATCCCGGTCGTTGATTGAAAATCGCGGACCGATGTGCGTACTCTCAGGATTCTTCCACAACGACAGCTTGGAGGTACCTCAGCTGGGCTGGAGCCGGGTTTCGGGGTTTAGGGTTTAGGTTTTAGGTTTTAGGGTTTTAGGGGTTTAGGGTTTTGGGGTTTAGGGTTTAGGGTTTTAGGGTTTAGGGTTTTTGGGGTTAGGGGTTCTTCTGTTGTTGTTGTTGACCCCAGTTCCACTGTGCCCTGAACTCCGCCGCTGTCAGAAACGTAAGACCTATACATTGGGATTTTCCCGCTTGTACGAACAGTCCTTAATGGGGATTATAGTCCCCCCTATTTTAATCCCTATTGCGGACTTTTAGTATAAGGGTGAGCATCCCAACCTATATCCCTAAACCCTTAAACCCTTAAACCCTTAAACCCTTAAACCCTTAAACCCTTAAACCCTTAAACCCTTAAACCCTTAAACCCTTAAACCCTTAAACCCTTAAACCCTTAAACCCTTAAACCCTTAAACCCTAAACCCTATACACGATCTTAATCCCAAACCTACAAAGCCGCACTGGCCTCCTGCTTGCGACCTGTCTGCAGATCCTCCCCTTCTTGCAGAAACCTGTATTCTAGTTGCTTCGTGCTAATCTGAAGCAGGGTATGTATTGTTGTTATTGTTATTCCTGTTGTGGTAATTGCTGTTTCGGTGATAATTAGCAGCCTGATGATTTGGCAGCCATATTGTTTTAGAACCAGACCTTCTGAACTGTGCGCACCTTAAGTGGCCCCACCTAAAGCATCCCGAACGACTCTTATCCTTTCCGGATTCTGGCTCTGAATGCACTTTTTAAGACTCCTCCGTGCCCGAATTTTCGAGAATGGCTGGGGGATTCAATAAGGTCATCCAGATCCCTAGGCCCCTGAAACTTTGAACCCAGACGGACCAAATAAGCACTTCATTAGCCTTGCTCTCAAAGAATCTAGTGGGGGGGCGGGGGGGCAGTCTGTGCCTCGAGGTGCAGGATCTCGTAGCTGCAGAGAGCACGGCGGAGGTCCTGGAGGCCCAGCTACCGTTTAGGGTTTAGGGTTTTAAGTTTTAGGGTTTAGGTTTTAAGGTTAAGGGTTCAAGGCTTGAGGGCTTAAGTCTCAGGGGTATTTGTAGGGTTGAGGAGCAGGAAGGCGCCTTTGACGGCTCCGTTTTCCTCTCGTGCAGCCTAGTTGATAGCTTTTAAGCCTTTCAGAGTGGGTTTAGATTTGTTGTTTGTTTGGAGGGGGGGGGGGACCTAACTTTAGCCGAAACCCTATAAACCCTAAAGCCCAACCCCCGAAATTCCATCAACCCGAAACCCGAAACCCTCGACCTAAATCCGCAACCCCAAGCCTGGCCTGAACCCTAACCGCCTTGAATTCTGAAGCCCCAAGCCCGAAACCCTAAGCCTAAAAACTCCTTAAGCCCTCACATCTCCAGGCAACGAAGCTTCTCCAAGGATTGCCTGCTGATGTGGTGACCCTGGCCAGGCACACTGCAGGGAAGTGGGGGGCTTCAGGGTTTTAGGGCTTCAGGGTTTTAAGGGTGGTAGGGTTTTAGGGTTCTGATTCGGGGTTGAGGGTTTTGGTGCCAAGGCAAAGACCCGATTAGCCGAAAGGTTCAGCCCCGTCCTCGTCTCCTAAGCTCTTAAGCGAACATCCGGCTCCCTGCCTCCGAGCCCCCCCCCCCCCCCCCACAAAGCCCTCCACAACCCGGCAGCCCCCGACTTGAAACCACCATGGAAGAGGACGGAGATGCTTGCAAGGAAGCTGCTGCAGGAGGGGGTGTGGGTGCAAGGCTTGCAGGGTGTGGGGGTTTAGGTTCGGGTGTAGCTACTGGAGTTCAGGGGTGGCTGCAAGGGACTGGGGTGCTGGCGTCTAGGCTTACAGGGTTTGCAAGGTGTAGGGTGTTTGGGGGTGCCTTCTTCCGCTGATCCGGAGTCATATTCTGGGGCGTGCACGCAATCTTTGTAGCGTCCTTGGTATGCAGGACCTACTTACAAGCCATGACCCCGAACCCTGCAGGCAAACCTTGTAACCTGCTTCGCTTGAGGACCGGAGGCTTGTGGGCCACCCTCGCCCCGCCCAGAAACCTTGAAATCCTAGCGAGCTTCCAGTCTCTATTTCAGGTTGGCGCGCAACACCTCACTCCCTTCACCCCCGAAATAATCTCCTTCCTGCCATATGGGCCTTTGAAGTCTGACGCCTGATTCCGTACTCCATCGTAAGTCGGTCGAACTCCACATCCCTCGAAAGCCCAAGCTTCTTCCCAGCAGAGGAGCAGCTGGAAGAAGTTGCTGAGCTGAAGGACTCTTGGGGTGCTGCTTGAGAAAACTCAGTCAAGGCAAGCCCTCAGCTCTTGAATCCTTGAGGTCCAAACAAACGACCTCAAAGCCTTAAACCCTAATCCCTAGACCCCAAACCCTAAGCTTTTTTGTGGGTTTGGGTCCTGCTGACGGAACTTGCAGCCGACAGCCGAAGGAGCGTGGGCTCCTTACGTCATCGGATGCCTCGAAGCCCCCTGGCTTAGACTAGGGTGGATATATATATATATATATATACAGATTTTTCACAACCTATAGATACACATATATATGTATATGTAGAAATACACACACATACATACATACATACATACATACATACCTACATATATATATACACATATACTACAACATAGCATGAGCAAAATGAAGAAACTTATCTCCAAAATGCTTGTTTGGAGTGCTTAGGTCCTTGGCTCCAGGACTTCGGGGATGCATGGGTGATGGTTTTAGGGGTTTAGGGGTTCAGGGGTTTAGGGATTACCAGGGTGCAGCCAGCACAACTCCTCCCAAAAAAGCTGGCTCTGAAGCGCCTCAGGTTTGAGGGTCTCGAGTTCATTGGAGTGTCAGGCCACTAAACCCCAAACTTCCTGCAGGCTGGATCATCGGGTTCAAGACTCGCTGCTCAAGTTACTGCGCCAGCCAAAGGATCAGTGGCTGCAGAGCAAGGCGTGACATCGGGCGGTGAGTTGTGTTGATGCGGCGCGTTTTGTAGGCTCTCGGACGTTGAGGCACACAGGATCCGGGCACTTTTTGGTAGGTTTTCCCATCCAGACTGGATGATGGAGGGTGTTGTTCAGACAGGGACCTTGGTTGGAGCTAGAGACGCAAAGACCCCCCGAGTTCCCACAACGTAGTTCCCAGAGCGTGCACGACAACCGGAGATTTAGCCTCCCCTTGGCAAGACACTGAACCCCTACTAAACCACCCTGAAAAAATAGATACTGCTCCCGAAGCCCGAAGCCCAACCTCAAACCCGAAACCTTAAAACCTTAAGCCCCAAATCCTAAACTGGCAGTTTAGAGTTTACAGGGTGTAGTGGTTTGGAGTATAAGAGGCTCGTGGGAGGCTTCAACCCCCAGAACTTGCAGCGCCTCGCAGGCAGCAGCAGATCAGTGAGAACCATGCCTAAGGCAAGATTTGGGTAGACTTGGATAGACCTGGGTCGGTTTGAGGCTTGTGACAAAAGTCTTGCAAACTGAGAGTTGAAGGCAGCTTGTGGCGCAAGGCGATTCTTAAAGGGTGAGGCTCTCAAAGGCTGCAGGTACTATATTGAGAGATTGAAAGGTTCAGGCGTGAGGACTTGCTGATCAATGCGCAGCTACTAATACCTGCATGCGTCGAAAGGTTTGTTGCAGAGTCCGTGGTCTTGGAGCCGTCTTCTGTTTCAGGTCTAGCAGTGCGCTCTCTCCTAGAAGGTCCTACGGCGACAATCTTCGAAGCACATTGGGTCCCGCCCCGTTCTGGATGGGACATGATCTATAGATAGTGGCTGCCTGAATCTGAGTGCCAAGTGTAAATTCAGGGATGTGTGGTTCAAGTCAGGCTTTAGCGTCTATGGCGCCTCCCTTAACATTGTAGAGACCTTCAATGTGGCAAGCCTGAACTTCGGAGGAGCTTTGGGCGTACACGGCGAATGCACTGCACCACGTCCTCTGCTGGTTACCAGGGTGCCGCATTGCGGAGCGCACATGCAAAAGATTGCCACCCCTGTTTCGTGTACAGCCTTTAGGCACTGAAGGGCTTGATGCTGCCTGCAAGGCATGTCTGGGCTTCAGGTGGAGGTTTACTCGTGATGGCTTTTGCCACACCAGAGCCTTTGTTGTTCAGGGTTCAGGACCGGAAGCCCTCAACACATGCTTGACCAGACGCAGATCATCGCAAGCCCTAATCCTCTGATTCGGCGCGTTCGTGATTTCGGGTTTAGGGATCGTGGAGTTTGTGATTTGGGGTTGAAGTCTCAACCCATGCAGCAGTGTCTGGTGGCTGAACAGACGTACCTGCCCGAACCTAGATGAGCTAAACAAGACCTGCGGTCTTCGCCTTGCGCCGCTCCGCCTTGTCTTTTTTTGGAGTAGCAGCCATGATGGGCTTCGAGTTGATGATGCTTTTGGGGGTCTTATAGGGATATGTGGATGAGATGCTGCGCTTGGCTGTCGCTGAAAGCCATCTAGAGAGTCCATGCTGACATGACGCCAGTGTCGTGATTCCAGCTTGCAGAGTCCTAAAACAAGTGACATGTCTTTGTAGAAAGCAAAGCACGAGACAGCATGTCATGAAGCCACTTGCATGCCCAGAAGGCCATGTAAACGAAAGCCTTTGTGAGAAGCTGAGCTCCGACCCCTGGCCAAGCCATGGAGACGTTGGACCCTGAGCCATTCCGTCCCTTGGTTCAGGGTTTAGGGTTTAGGGTTTAGGGCTTATAAGGGTTTAGGAATTAGGGTTTAGGGCGTCAACGACCCTACAAAAGCCTCGGCGCAACCGTTAATTCGGAGCCCTCGGCCCCCTCCTGTGATTTGTTGGATTTTCCAGGATTGGGATTCAGGGCGGGCTATGTGTGTATAGAAGTGGTCGCAAAGCACACCTGCGATTGCAATGCTGTGGGGATCAGAAGCCGAGAAATGAGTCACCAAGCTGTAATGACTAAACCCCAACATCAAGCCCTACAAGCCCTGTGAACGCAGGTCAGTTCTTAGAAGCGAAGTTCGAAGAACAGTCCCAGAAACTCCGCTGCAAGCTGAGCCCCGGTCCATGGCCAGGGACGCCTGAAAGGAGCGTACGGCTCATCCAGTCGGGTTTGGCTTGGGGGTCCAGGGTTCAGGCTGAGGGTTCAGGAAAACTATACGAACTTGGGACAGTTTCGCTGCGCTGGTGTGTGGCCCAAGAGATCAACCTTTGAGCTCCAAGCCCTCTTTTGTTGCTGAAACTTTAACCTGGTGGTTCTTGGCAATGAATGCGGACATTACAAGTACCCTCCTAGAATCCCTTCAAGGGTAAGATGATTCCCTACCAAAAAGCAGTAAGTGTAATCCCTAAGGCTTCAAGTGTTAGGAGCGTTAGGAGCTGGCAGCTGGGTTCTAGGGCAGGCTAAGGTTTAACAATTGGGCCAATTCTTGCCCCCCCCCCCCCCCCCCACCTGGCTCCGTATGCTGATGCGAAGAAATCACCACCCTCCCCTGCCAATCCCCAACGCAGCACGTCCACCTGCAGGATTTAAGTAGGTGTTGGGTGCCCTGTAATTTGGGCACATGGCAGACAAGAGACTGAGTGATTCTGACAGTGAGCTTCGGGCACTGGTCTGCTGAAAGCCCTGTTTAAACCCTAAACGCTAGATCGGTTATAGCCGAGGATTCTCCGAGTCCTCTCGCGGCAAGTGGAAGGCCCTCTGCCATGCCTTCGTGAGGGTGAGAGTAGAGATACCGTGCTTTGAGCTACGACTTTTGGTTGAAGTGGTTTGAGGATTTGGGCACGGCCTTATTGGGTCCACAATTAGTTAGCCTTAGAGGACACCCTAACGTTGCATTTGAAGCAAATCAAGAGCGGGCTCTTCACTTGCAATTCTATCTTGCTTCCCCTGCTGCTAGATTTTGCTGGATTTCCTTATAGTGGAAATTAAATACGTTGTTGTTTGCTATTTCCGATCCCCTTTGCGTCCGCTCAAGCAAGATATTTCTTCAATAGAGCCGAGTGAGTCAGTTTCTGCAAACATGAAATGCAGCACTCGCATACTTAGTTTACTCCATCTACTCAAGACCTGAACCCCAAGCATGATCTCCCATACGGAGGACTTGACAGCTCCACCCCCCCCCCCCCCCCCTCTCCAACCCCATTTCTGAGAACCCTACCCTAAACGCTAAACCCTAAACCCTCAACCCTAAATCCTAAACCCTAAACCCTAAACCCTACACCCTAAACCCTAAACCCTAAACCCTTCCCCCCCCCCCCTGCTGACAGTAGGACTGCAGCGAGCGGCCCGAGCAGCGTGGGACCCGTCCCTGTGGTCTGGCTATGATTCAAATTCAGGGCTTTTAGGGCTTGGGGCCTATAGGACTTAGGGTTTAGGGTTTAGGGTTTACGGTTTAGGGTTTAGGGTTTTTTTTGTTCGGGGCGTAGGTGGGTTTTCAGGGTTCATCAATGGTTTAGGCTTTCAGGGCTTTGACTCCGAATCCAAACGTTGTGATGGCTTTACCGCTCGTTGTATGTGAGGTGTGGTATACGGGGCATGAGCGCATAATCGGTCCGCGCCCTAAACACTTGTAAGCCCTGCAACACCTAACCCGAAGCCTCTAATGAGGAAGCGTTAGACCTCCTGCCAAGGATTCTAGGATGCCCAGTAGTACCCCCTTTTCGGGGGGGTTTAGGTTCCCTTATAAACCCCTTTAAGCAAAAAAGCCCTAAACCCTAAACCCTAAACCCTTTTTAAGCCTTGGTTACTGGGCAGCCTAGGATGCAGCAGAGTCCGCGGCAGCATACAAAGCCAGATCGCTCCCGCCCGCACATCCGAGAGGTTTCCGTGACCCGGCCTGGCCTACATGGAGAGTTTAGGGTTTAGGGTTTAGGGTTCAGGGTTTAGGGTTTATAGGGTTTAGGTTTTAGGGTTTAGGGTTTAGAGTTGTGCCTAAAAGTTGCAGAGTTTGGTAAGGTATCGGTTCTGTGCGGCTTTCTGTAGCGTTCAGGGTTGTAAATAGAGTATGTAATTTCGAGGCCGCTGGTGCTGCAGCCTTTCAGGGGGATGAGCTCTGCAGAGTCGTAGTTGGTGGTAACTATATGTTTAAATCCTGCAAGTTGGTTTGCGCTGTGTGTGGTCTGCGTTACACATCAGGGGCATGTCATATTGTCGAGAACTCGAGAGTTACACAACCCATCAGTGAATATTCAGGATCCAAAGAAAACGTTTATTCTGTGGCCGAGGGCTTCCAGATCAGCTCTCAACTGTTACCGGTGCCCTCGACGAAACCCGTTTGATATCAATGAAACGCCTTTCAAAAAGGGGTCGGAATAATTAAGAAAGGTTTCTCTTATAGTCCCTTACAAGCCCCCGAAAACCCTATTCTAATTCTTAAGGCCCCTGTATTACGCTTATCCAGCTTGGCCCAGGACTTCGGCAAAGAGGCGAGGTGGGTTTCGAGGTTGACGTGTTGAGGAAGATTGCCCAGATATCAGGTGACCCATATGGACAGTTCTCCAGATTATGGATATTCATGGTGCCTGTGTTTGGGGTACGAAAATGTGAACCGCGAAGGGACCGTCATCTAGAAGCATATGATGGCCGATATCAACCATCGCAGCCGAGTTTAGGTTTTTAGAGGGTTCCTGGGCTGTGGCGTTAAGATGTAAGCTGAAGCCCTGAACCCTGAGACCTGGAAGCTTCTCGTGCCCGGCAGGACGAGACAGTGGCCGACGCTCTGTGGTCGGAGGGGCCATCCGCATCCCCGGCAGCACCTTGGCTTCGGAACTCTGCGGACCAAGCTCCAAACCCTCTGCCGTCCCCAGCTCTAAACCCTAAACAGCCTCAAACCGAAACAGCCTAAACCCCCAACCCCTAAGCCTCTAAGCCCAAAAACGCAGAACCTAAACTCAGAACAACCCAAGCTCTACCCGACTAGTCCTTAGGGACTGGTGGGGAGGTTCGGAGGTTCAGGCAGGGGATTTAAGATTCATGACAGAGAGCCTTCAATCCATGGACCCCATCCCCTAGGCCCTAAAGCCCGAAAGCCCTAAAGCCCACAGCGTCGAACCTACTGGGTTTAGGGCTTAGGGCTTAGGGCTTAGGGCTTAGGGCTTAGGGCTTAGGGCTTAGGGCTTAGGGCTTAGGGCTTAGGGCCACCTGCGAGGAGCTACCGAGCCCTACCTCCATGAACGGCTCAACCAGGGAAACCAAGGAGGATCCACGATGGCTTGCAAAACCAAGGTAGGGCTTATAGGGTTTGTAGAGTGTTACAGGGTTTGTAGGGTTTATAGGGTTTACAGGGTTTACAAGTAGGGTCAGGGTTTGTAGGGGGGGGATTTATAGGGTTTATGGGGTTTGTAGGGTCTACGCTTTGCCCTCGTGCCGCTTGTCAACCCACAACGGCCACCCACAATACCCTCTATTCGGGCTTAGGGTTTTTCAGTTGATA